AACTCATAATTCACAACATCCAACCTTGTTCTTGAGAAAGGGGATAAGGCCAGAAGCCTTTACATCCTGCCTTATACACAGGACAGGAAAGAAAAACACTGGCAGTCAGCAGATGGAGCCAGGTGGGAGAGGGCAGCTCAGGCTGCTGTGGGAGCCACATACTAGACAGGGGGAGAGTGTGTGTTACAGTAAAAAAAATTTTTTTATTTTTTTATTAATATTAAAATTTACAGAGACTTGGGGTTTCCATTCATTCATTGTTGTACTTTTCTCCCTGCCCACCCCTACCCCTCAATTTACTTCTCTCTCTGAAAAGTAAAAGAAAAATTCTTTCATTGTTATACAATCCTTCGCGCTAAGTCCACTCCACTGTGAAACCTTGTGATTTTCAATTGTTATTATTTTCACAATAATTCCCAATCATATATCCCTTTTAAACAGTTCTCTCATCTGTTTGAATGCAGTATGTATGCATCATTCCTCCTCTCTTTCTCAGTCTTCCCTCAACCCTGATGTCAATCCCATTTTATGACCGTGGCACTATGCAGTATTTGTCCTTTGGTGACTGAGATATTTCACTCAGCATAATGTCTTCCAGGGTCGCCCATTTTGTATAATATTTCATGAGTTCCTTGTTTTTCAACATAGCATAGTATTCCATTGTGTGAATATACCACAGCTTCTCTATCCATTCGTTTGTTGATGGGCACTTAGGTTGTTTCTAACTCCTTGCTATTGTGAACAAAGCTGAGATAAACATGGGTGTGCATACATCTGCTTGGATGTCAGTTATGATTTCTTTAGGGTAAATTCCCAGTAGTGGAATTGCTGGGTCAAATGGTATTTCTATCTGCAACTTTTTGAGAAAGTGCCATACAGCCTTCCATAGTGGTGGCACCATTTTACACTCCCACCAACAGTGAATAAGGGTTCCAGTTTCTCCACAAACTTGCCAGCATGTGGTGTTTGCTGTTCTGTTAAATTTTGCTATTCTTACTGGGCTGACTTGATAGCTCATAATTGTTTGATACAGTAAAATTTTTAATTTACTTCTTCCATGTGAGATGTGTCCTTATCACCCTCAAATGTGGGGGTCTCATCAAGAACAGCAGCCCTGAGTGCCTCAGCTGTCACCTCCTCTTCATCAATGCCTAAGCCGAGCTTGATCATGAGGTCGAGGTGGTTGGAGTAAGCCTGGGGATCCTCAAGGGAGAAGCCAGAAGGGAGCAGTGCACATTCAAACAGCAGCAGCACCCCATTCTTTTTTTTAAAATATTTTAATTTATTTATTTTTCATTTCAATGAGCACCCCATTCTTAACAGCTTTGTCATTTGTGCCCACCTCAGCTTTCTTCCTCAGTGTCTGAACAATCAGATGAGCAGGATTAATTTTTCAGGTGCTTTTTTGGCCGTCATGTAACCCATTGTAGACTTGTCCTGAAGCGCCTGTGCTTTCACAATCTGCTCCAGCGGTCTGTCCAGTATACGTGTAGTTACAGTGCTGCAGGGTGAAGGTACGAGTCTATCGGAGACTGTCACCTTCTCAGCCTTCTTATATAAAATTTCCTTCATGAGCTCAGAGGTTCTCAAACTTGGCCTTGCTTTCCTGCACTTTCTTTTTCTCCTCTTCATCCTCAGGTCGTTCTAGGCCCTCGTTGGTGACGGAAACCAGTCTCTTCCCATCAGACTCCTTGAGTTGTTTCACAGAGCGCATTGACTGGTTCAAAGCCCCACTTTGTGCACTCGGTCCACAAAAGCAGAGTGGGCCACCGGCTCTTTGTTCTCACCAGGTCTCCTTCACAGGTCTCCTTCTTGCGAGACACATATTCTGAGAGAGACGTCATCTCATCTCCAAATTGGGAAGTGTGATAGCGAAGCCTCTCAGAAGGGCGACACCAGTTAATAGAGTCCTCATGGATCCCAAGCTTCAGGCATTAAGAGAATGCCTCATAGAATTTCATGTAGTTCTTCTTGGCTTCTGCCAACTCAGAGAAGAGCTCAAGACACTTCTTGACGATGTTTTTGTGGATGACCCTGGAGATTTTGCTTGGTTGCAGCATTTCTCAAGAAATGTTAAAAAGGCAGATCCTCAGAGCCAACCATATCACGGATGAAGTTCAGATACCCTGGTATCACCTCACCACAGCTGTCCTTGATGAATACATGGCAGACATAAAGTTTAATGTTATTATTCTTGTTGCTGTTCTCAGAGCGGTCAAAGGGAGCACAGCAAGGGTTAAACAGCGACGCCATGAACTCCAGCTGACCGTCTACTGAGAAGTGCTTGACTGCCAGGTGGTCTCCCCGACACTAGTGAGGCTCTTGGAGAACTCCCCATCTTCCTCCTGTGTGACGTTGTCAGGATTTCTGGTCCAAATGGGCTTAGTCTTGTCCAATTCCTCCCATCAATGTATATGTAGCCTTATTTTTCCCTTTTTCTTGTCCTTCCCACTGTCATCCTCCTCATCTGAACCCACATCTTCACTCATGGGCTTCTCTTCATCATCCGATTTCCTTCTCTCATTCTTTCTCTAAATAAAGGGTGACGGGGCAGCCTCTGAACTGTGAGTGCCTCTTTGCTTCTTTGACTTGTCTCTCCTCAAAGTACTCTGTCTGGTCCCCTTTAAAGCATACAATCACTTTAGTACCTTGATCAATGGGCTCCCCATGATCAGCAGGAATTGTGAAGGAACCCCCAGCTGAAGACTCCCAGACATACGGCTCATCATCATTGTGTTTTGTGATCACTCCCATGTACTCTGTCATCAAATAGGCAGAATAAAAGCCAACACCAAATTGACCAGTCAGGGAGATGCCTGCACCAGCCTGCAGAGTCTCCATAAACGCTTTGGTACCAGACTTGGCAATTGTTTCCAAAGTATTTATGAGATCAGCCTTGGTCATGCCAATGCCTGTGTTTACAAAGTACATCAAAGTATGTTCTGGGGGTTGGGGATGATGGAGATTTTCAGCGTCTCTTTACCACTGTCCAATTTGGAAGGATCTGTCAGACTTCCATAGTGAATCTCGTCCAATGCATCAGATGTATTAGAAATCAACTAAGAGCAACAATGAATGAATGGAAATCCAAAGTCTCTGTAAATTTTCATTAAAGTTAATAATAAAAATATATAAAGGGGGAAAAAAGAATAGCTAATATCTGGAGATGAAAGCCATATCTTCTAGTTAGTTTAGATTTTTCTAGTGTATTTTTTGTCACTGTACTACTGTATCTCTGATGATTAAAGAGCTGATCTGTAGCATAAAACCCTCCAAAGAAGAAATAAATTTTGATGGAAAATATGCATGATTTTTGGTAAAAAATATCTTTAATTAAAAAATGGTTTTAATAACAAAGAAAATCAACTAAGGAAAATGTCCTTGTTGGAATAGAAGGTATTGATGATAAGAGACAGTGTTGGACAATCTCTGCCCGACAGGCAAAGGTCTCCACCTCCTCCTCCCCATGGTGCACTTCCTCAGGCATCTTGATGAAAAGGGCTGCAAGTACCAGGGAGGTGGGCTCTAGGGACAGGCTGCACAGAGCTCAGGAGCAACACAGGGGTGACTCAGGAAATGGGTCTTGACATCTATCCTCCCCCCATCTCTGCTACTCCCTTTGCTTGATTGATTCATTATTTCTATACGTCATAAGATTGATTTAAGGCACCCTTGTCTTGATCCTGTCTTAGTATCCCTTCCCAGCTAGGGTTATAGCCACAGGCACAGTGGTTAGAATTTACAACATGGCATTTTAGGGGTCAGGATCAGTCCCTAACATTGACAGCACCTGTGGGTGATGATGTGTCTTTGTGAGTGTTAGCACATGAGTTTATTCCATAGTGGTGTCTGTGTGTCTGTGGATTTGAATGTGACTGCTTTCAGGCAGTCATTTGGTGTCCCCTTCTCAGTGCAGACTCTTCCAACTACCTCGCTTAAAATTGTACATTCTCTGCTTATTCTTTCTTAGGAACACTTGATGATGCTGACATACCCTATTTCACTTGTTTTGTGTACAACTGCTTTCCCAGTAGAGTGTGGGCTCACACAGTCCAGGCAGGACGAGGGCAGCTGATGCCCAGGGTGGAAGCTGTTGTAACTACCCATGTACAGGTGGTGGTGGAATAATTAGATTCAGGACATATTCTGAAGATAGAGTTGACAGGATTTGCTGATTTAGTTGTTCAGGATGAGGGGCTAAGAGGAATGTAGGATGATTCCTTTATGGATGAGTGAGGAACAACAGTGAGAAAAGGGAGATTTAGGGGGATGAAGGGACTGGGAAGTGAGAGGAGTCTGGGGTATGTTCAATATATGATGCCAGTTGAAGACCCAGAGAGGACAGCTGAGTATGAGTCTGAAGTTCAGGAGAGAAGAAGATTTGAGAGATGAAAAAGTCAGTTTTGTTGGCTTATTGATGATATTTAAACCTAGAAGACTGGATGAGATCTCTAAGGGGGTAACTGAGATGGAGAAGACAAAGACATTCAAAAAGAGGGTGGACAGGATGAGGGCAGGCTGTTGCTTTGGCCCAAGAAAGAGATGAGATCTGAGTTAGAGAAGTTGAGTTGGAACCGACTCACAGCTGACCCTCCTGTGGCTTTTCATAGGCAATATAATCACTCATAAGGAGATTGCCCATCTTTCTCCCATGGAGCAGCTGGTGGATTCGAACTACATGCTTTTCTGGGTTGGCAGTGTATCTCCTTACCATTAGGCTACCAGAGTTCCCTAAGAAGGGACCCATCTTGTAAGTGTGGAGGTAAAACTGGAAGGATATGGCACCAACTCCGTCTCAGAGCTGGCCTGACACCCAAAGCTAGGCGTCCCTTCAGGGAGCTCCTAGGAGGTGGGACTGATTCATCTCTTATCTCTGCGCCACCCTCACCCCACTCTGTCCCCCTTATGCCCCCTTGCACAGCTCATTATAGTGTCAGCTCCTGTTAGCTAATAGATGGACAAATGGTAAATTAGTGCCTCATTTCCCTCTTCCCTCCCAGCTTCTGCTAAAGAACAAAAGAAGATGATGTCCAAGACAGCCCTCCCCACTGTGAAGAAGCTGGTGACACCTCCCACTGGACCTGGCAAAGCCAAGTAAGGAGCATGATGGGAGTCGGAGGAGGGGGAGGCTATAAAGGAAAAGCTGCTCCCTACCCCCAGGGCCTGATGAGAGTATGTTCCAGGCCATCCCGGACACCCAACGGGGAGAGTCAGAAGCACCCCTCCTGTGACTCTGGTAAGGGGGGGATGGAGATAAGGTGGGGTGGTTGTTCTGAAGAACAGAAACAGGGAGAGACTAGGATAAAGAGAGACTCTGAAAGTGCCAGAGGACACCAGGCCCCCTAAGGTTCTGCTTCTCACAGGCTCCAATGGAAGACTCCCTGCTGGGATTCCTGGGAAAAAACGATCTAAAATTCAGGGTTCTCGTCAATGTTCTGCACTCAGCCAGGTGAGATGCCCAAAATGCGTGGGAGTCAGTGCACTGGGCAGGGTCTGGTTCCCAGAGGCATGGTCTGTTCAGGATCCTGCACAGAAGTCTCCAGCCATCAACTGAGACCCCCACCCCTGTCATCACAGGAGGAAGAACAAAGCAGCCTGGCAAAAAACCCTTCTGTAAAGAAATCCCCCACTCTAGACAAGACCCCCAAAGCAGAGAAGACCCCATATCCTGATAAAGCTACCAGTCCAGAGAAGACTCAGACTCTTAACAAAGATTCTCCCTCAGAGAAGGCCCCAACTCTGGACATGACCCCCTCTCCTGAAAAAGCCCTGACTCTGGATAAGGCTTCCACCTCAGAAAATATCCTGACTCAGGAAGAACCCCCTCCAGAAAAGAATGTGACTCCAGATAGGGCCCCCAGCCCAGAAAACATCCCAACTCTAAACAAGACCCTCAACCACGAGAGGGTCTTTTCTGTGGATGAGACCTCTGCCCTAAAGATCCCACCTGAAGAAGCTGGCCCTGGCTTAGAGATGGCCCCACCTGGGGATGAAATGCCCTCTCTAGATGAAACCTCAATTCCAGACCAAGTCCCCCCTGAGGACGTGACTGGCACTGGACATAACACTCAATTGCATCACTTCTCCCCTGAGGGAGCCCTGCAGGAGGGACCCCCTGTGGCCAAGGAGTTCCAGCCCCAAGAAGATGAGATGGATGTGTTCAAGGATGCCCCAGAGTGCATCTCCACCAGGGTGAAGCTGGACCTGAATGATGAAACAGACAACCCCCCACTACAGTCCGATCCAGAGTCTATGTCCTCCCCTGATGAGCCCCACTCCCAAAACGAGGCCACAACCCTCCTACGGGGGACACCAGTGGAAGATGAGGCTACCTCTAGCGAGGAGACAGCCTTGAAAGAGGAGCCACCCCTCAAAGCAGAAATGCTCCCCCAAAAGGAAGTGTCTCCCATGGAAGAGGCACCTCCTAAAGAAGAAATGTCCTCCCTGAAGGAAGAGGCTTCCAGAGAGGAAGCAGCCCCCAAAGAGGAAATAACTCCTCAAAAGGCAGTATTTCCCATAGGCGAAGCACCCCCAGAAAAAGAGGTCCCTCCCAATGACTTAGCTCCTGCTCCAAAGAAACTAGATCCCATCAAGTCGACCACAGACCCCCAAGACACTCATTCCAGGGCCTCACAAAATCCCACAGAAAGCAAAGATGACAAAGTCGACATAGTGAGGCTAAAAGACGAGGTGGAGTCTCTGAGGAAGTCACTGGACCTGATGGGGGAGCTGCTGGAGTAAGTAGGAAGTGGCGGGGAAGGGATGTGGGGTGGGCTCCTAGCCTGCCCACTCCCCCTCACCACGGCTCTCTTGTCCGCAGAAAGAAGCTGACCAGCATCTGGGAGGAGTTAAAGAGTGAGAGGGAGCATCGCCAGTTGCTGGAGGTGGGTGGGACGTGGAGCCCTGGAGAGGAGCGAGGACCCGCTGGTGGTGGGTCTTCTCTGATGTCCCCTTTCTTGACCAGGTTCAATTGATGCAGAGGACACAGGAAGCCTCAGCCTCGCACTCCGTCCACTCACAGACAGAGACGAACTGAGAGTGGGCCTGGGAAGGACCACATGCCAGCTGGGAGGGAAGTCTGGCTCTGGCCACCCACCTCCTCGCGCCCTCTCAGGGGATTGCCCGACAGTAAACCCTGCTGCAAGCGGCGCGAGCCTGGTCTGTGGGGCGGGGCCGCGCACCGGGGGCGGGCCCTCCGCATTCCTGGCGGTCTCTCCCGGGCACATCTGGCCAACATGTGGCTCCCATTACCGTTCCCAAGGCCTGCGCAAGGCTATTTTTATCCACCGGATGATGTGGGGGAGGGCTTCTTCGGACGCCAGTCCCGAAGTGGAGTAGCAGCAGGCTGAAGGCGCCCAGGCGGGTCAGGGAGCCCGCTAGGCCTGGATTCCGGAATCCAGCTGTGTGCCAGAGACGGGCCGGCTGTCGGGAAGCCGGCCCGCCGCCTTTCCAGCTGGGACCCCTCGGTGGGCCCCAGGAGACCTCACAGGAAGGCTCCTCAGCTCAGACACACACACTATGACAGTAAGTCTAATAAGGTTTAGACTCAGGATCACCTCCCCAATACCTGGATGTTTGTGTGTGACTGTAGTGTTTGCATGGTGGACACAACACATCTGTGGGGACAGGTGTGATGTACACTCAGGCCTTTGGGGTAAGGAAGGTATTTTCGAACAAGGATTGTACGTGAGTGTGAAGATGGATGTGAGAGGAGTGTAGGTGCAGGCTGTGTCCCCCGGAGCCTTTTGCTATCTGAAGTGAGCACAGCTATACGCAAAGACTTCTGGGGAGTGGGTTCCCTTCCTGCATGACAGGAGCCTGGGGGCCGCTAGGAATGCAGGGCAGATGTGACAAAGAGGGAGAGACTGAGTCACTGAGAATGCAGCTTTCATTGGTCACTTCTCCGTTTTTCCCCTGGTGGAGGTGGGGACCCTGCTTCCTGCCCTCCCCCAACGGCCTTCTGGAAGGACTGGGGAACGGTGCCTCCCAGGCGGTGGGAGATCCAAGTCCAGTAGCACGGGGAGAGGGGCCATCTTAGCACCGTGGGTCAAGGTAGTCCCAATGTCCTGGGGCCACTGCGCGCTCTTTGCAACGTCCAGTACCCTGAGCACATTGCAGCCAGGCCTCCAGTCAGTAATAGTGCATGCGGCCCAGGGTTCCTGTGGCCGTGGGGCCGGGCCCCAGTGTGCCTGTGCCCAGCAGGTCGGGCTGCCCGGTGCGCCAGATCTCCCGCAGGATGCGCTCGCGTTCCTCCAGCCGCTGCGCACGCTCCAGCTCCTCTGCCGACGTGAACACATTGACGCTCAGGGGCCCGTCAGCCTCCACCGACAGCTCGGCTCCAGGCAGCGTGTCATCGGGGCCCAGCCGCGTCATGGTGTCCTCCTCATCTTCATCGTCGTCCTCGGGCTCCAGAGTGCTGCTGCTGCGGGGGTCTCGGCGAGGAGGGGGGCCGCGGGGTCGTGGGCGGGGCGCACAGGAAATGCTGATGACCAGGAGGCACAGGGTCAACAGCAGGCCGAAGCAGACACCCAGCACGAAATAAAGGCCGAAGCTTTCGGGATTCGCTGGGGATTAAAGGGCAGAGGTCATACAAGTGTCCTGGAGGTGAAAGGCAGTCCTGGAAAAAGACTCTGGCTCTGGGTTTGGCGGTAAAGCCATCGGCCGTGTACAAGAATATTAATGAGCTGCCATTGGCCATGGGGGCAGTGCGGGTGGAGGAGCTGGAGGGGTTGAGTGGCTATTAATTAGAGTTCTGCCAGGGGCAGGGGACTGGGGTGGCCAAGGGTTGGTGTGGAGGGGGGGGGGGGGGGACTACGTGCCCAGGCTCCCACCCTCACCACGGATGTGTGCGTAGGCCGCCAGGCTGTTGCTGAGCAACTCCATGTCCCTTCGAGGGGCGTCCATGCTGCTCCGGGGGTGGGGCTGCGCTCCTGTCAGGCGGTGAGAACGTCAGGGTCAGACCCTTCTCCTGAGTCCAGAGCTGCCCCCGACCCGCATCCTTCTCTGCAGGAGCAGCCCCTGGTCCCACGCTGCAGTGAGCCGCTCCCTAACTTCGTGGCAGGCCCGGGCGCCCCCCAATCCCGGGGCAAAGGAGTGAGCGGCCAGAGGCTCCGCCCCTCGTGGGTGCCTAGATGGGGCCGGGCGGCGGGGCTCCGGCGCTGGACCGAGGGCTGTCTCCCCTTCTCCCCACGCAGACTCGGAGGAGAACGGCCGCCCGTGGGGACCCCGACCCGTAGCCCCGGCTCACTCACCGTCGGCGCCCCGCTCCCCAGCGGCCAGGGCCCTGCGCGTCCGGCCTCGGTCCTGGGCAGCCGCATACACCCAGGCCCGCCCGCGCCCGCCCCGTCCGGTCCCGCCCGCCCGGCAGGCTCGACTCCCAGGCGGCGGCAGTGAGGGCCGGACACGGACACGGGCCGCTGGACCAGCGCACGGAAAGTTTCCTCCGCGGAAAGAGGAGGGACGGGGCGGGGCAGGGGAGGCGGGGAAGCCTGCGCCCCGGAGGAGGGGGCGCGGAGCGGGAGCCGAGGAGGCCGCGCCCCCACAGGAAGCAGCCAGGGAGGCCGGTGCAGGCCCGCCCCCAGCCCACAACAACCGTAACAGAAAGGACCGAGCAGTTCTGACTCCCCGCAGTGGGCTCAACACTTCACAGGTCCTTCATTTCATCTTCCAACCCTGTCGATCAACTCTCATTGCTTCCAGTCTGCACCAGCTCAATGCTGACCTTCCTAGCGGGTTTTCAGAGGCTGTAAATCGCACAGAAGTGAAGGTCCATCTTTCTCATTGCTGTTAGATCCAACTTCCAGAAAGGCGTGGCCTTTAATACTGCGCTCCCTACAGGCTGTGCCATCAGATTTCCCTGCCACGCTGACTTGTGGTGCCATCGAGTGAGCTGGAACCAAATCATAGCTAATCCTCCTGCAAGTTTTTACGGACTGTAAATTGCGCGGGAGGAGATCATCCGTTTTTCTCCCGCAGAGTGATTGGTGGATTTGAACGGCAGACCTTGCAGTTGGCAGCGTAATAATGCCTTACCCACTAGGTCACCCAAGTACCCTACCACGTTGAATAAGTGTTATTGTGTGCTGTCGAGGAGATAAGAAATTATGCCATTTAGTTTCATTATTCCTCTAAAGAACAGGGCTATTTTACTTCGTAGATTCACAAATCATGGAATGACAGCTTGGACAACTTTACCACTGTCAGGATTTGAACCCACTGCTCTCTTGACCCGAGAGCCTGAATCTTAACCACTAATAGCCCTCCTCTCAGGAGACCCCTGCCTCAGTTCCAGCTCCCATCTCTGCTCCAGGCTCTCCCTCCCCACCCTCCTGCCCTGCCTGCTGGTCCTCAGGTCCTTCAACCCTTCTTGGAGGGAGAGGGCTCGCAGCCCCTCCCCCCAGGGCCCAGTAGTGTGTGTCCAGCTGGCTGAGCTCTGTCACACGGGGTTAATGATTGTTGGACTCCTACTCCTAGCCAGGCCAGGCCCCCTTAGCAGAAGCCAGTGGAGGGTTGCAGAGCATTGCTGGGGGTAGCATGCAGCAGGGTGCATCCCCCTTGGCCCACGGCTAAACCAGCCGGGACACATGCATGCATTCCACTTCTGCATGCAGTGTGCGTGTGTTTGGTGTGTGCAGCCTGGAGTGTTCTTCCTGCCCAGACTTTCACGCCCCCATGCTTCTCAGCCCCCCTCCCGGTGCTGGAGCTGGCGTGAGGGGGAGGCTGTGTTGGCGGGAGCCTTTAGAGAGGAGGAGGGAAGAAGGAAGGGGGAGAGGAAATTGCAGACATAGCTGAAGGCGCTGCCTGAGGTCTGTGGGCCAGCTAACCCCCCTCCCTGCCGAGTTCAGAGACCCTACTCCAAGTCCTGATTTGGGGTTCAAGCAGAGGGCAGCCCCAGGTGGGAGGATGGCTGGAAGAGAGGACTCCCATGGGGAAGTCCTCCAGGGTGACTGTGTAACTGTTTAGTCTTTTTGTGAGTGTGTGGCGATATTTGGGCCCATATCTGTGTATTTGTGCGTTAATGTGATTTATCTTTTGTATATGTGCATGTGGGGGTGGGGAGTGGTTATGTCTGTATGTCTATATGGTCACTATTCAACAAACATTGACTACAGGGTGCTTGGCATTTCCTAGGTAAGGAAACTCAGCAATCAACAAAAGAGACAAAACCCCCTGGCCATAAATAAGATAGTTTTGGGTAATGCTGAATACTGGAAAGATTATTTGATAGAGAACATGTTGGGGGTGGCTTTTACCGGGGATATCTGAAGTAAGACCTGGATGCTGAAGAGAAGGCAGATGTGGCACGATCACTGTTTGAGTGGAAACGCAAAGGCCATGAGGTAGAAGAGAAAGCCAATGTGGATCATGTGCTGTGAACACAGGAGTGAAAAGCTGACTGTGCCGGGGACTCACAGACCCTGGTTAGTGTAGTTGTTGTTAGGTGCCATCAAGATGCCTAAGACTCATAGAGACACTATGTATATCAGCCCTAAACCCTGATCTCTCCCTTGCCAATCTTACTGTCTCTGACATACTTACCCTGACTACCCCAGTTACTGAATCAATCTATCTCATCGAGGTCTTCCTCTCCTGCACTGTCTCTCCACCCTCCCAAGCATGACGTCCTTCTCCAAGGACTGATCCTGCCTTGTAATATGTCCAAAATATGTCAGACGAAGCTTCAGAATCTTTGCCTTCAAGGAGCTTGACCCTCTCCAAGACGAACTTGTTTGTTCTCCTAGCAGTCCATGGTATATTCAATACTCTTGTCCAGCACCACAGCTCAAAGACATCAATTCCCCTTCTATCATCCCTAGTCATTGTCCAGCTTTCTGATGCATAGCAAGCAATTGCAAAGACTATGGCCTGGATCAGGTGCACCTTAGTCTCCAGACCGACATCGTTGCTGTTCAGTACCCTAGAGAGGTCCCTGACAGCAGAATTTCCTAATGCAAGTCATCTTTTAATTTCCTGGCTTCTGGTACCAAGAGTGTTGACTCTGGAGCCAATTAATCAGGCCAGTGGTGAAAGTATTTTTTTCTTTATGTTCAGCTTCAATCCATATTGAAAGCTATAGCCAAGCTCTTCAGGTCCTCTTCAGTTTCAGCAAGCAGGGTTGTGTCATCTGTATAACGCAGATTGTTGATGAGTCTTCTTCCGATCCTGATGCCACATTTCTCACAGAGCCCAGCCTCCAGGATAATCTGTCCTGTGTACAGATTGAAAAGGTATGGAGATAGGACACATCCTTGGTGTACACCTTTCCCAATTTTGAACCATGCAGTGTTTTCCTTGCTTTGTTCTGACGACTGCCTCCTAGTCCAAGTATAGGTTTTGCATGAGCACAATCAAGTGTTCTGGAGGTTTAAACAGGGGTGTGTCAGGGTCCTGGTCTTTGGAAAGATCACTCTGTAAGAGGGTCGTGAAGAATAGAAAAGCAGGGAGAGTAGTGAGCAGGTGGGGAGGTAAGCAATGGGGGTGACCTGGACGAGAATGGCCAGTGGAGGAGGTGATGAAGCAATTAGATTTGGGCTGTATTCTGAAGATTACTTGGATAGCTGGATGTGAGAGAGGAGTTAAGGACAATTTTTTTTTACCTGAACACCAGAAGAGAAGTTTATATAAAGGAGCAGGGTTCTGGAGGGGTCCTGGTTTCATTTGTAGATTTGCTAAATTTTATGCCACCAGTAGGTAAGCCAAGGTGAAGTCAAAGAGGCAACTGTAGCCTGGGCTGGGAATGGAAAGTTGAGAGACTCAACAAATAAGATAGATTGAAACCCGCTGGGTGGTGCCCATGGTTAATGTGCTTATTGTGACTAGACATTTGAATGAAGACAGTGTGAACAACAATGGATATGAAATTTGTTGTTGTTGTTGTTGTTGTTATGTACCGTCGAGTCCTTTGCGACTCATAGCGACCCTATGCACAACAGCCCTAAACCCTGCTCTATCCTGCGCCAACCGCACCGCCTCTGACACACCCATCCCAATTACC